AGAAGAAGAAGAAGAAGAAGAAGAAGAAGAAGAAGAAGAAGAAGAAGAAGAAGAAGAAGAAGAAGAAGAAGAAGAAAATACCTTAGAATTCTATGCTAATCTTCATGCACTATTGCTAAATGTAGATGTACCCAACCTTCTAGACTTCATGTAGAACTTCCTTAGAGCTTCATTTAGACTGTTCTTATACTCATATTCACTTTGAAATAGAATGAAAGCTATAAAATACAGTTCTTCCACTATGAACTGTATTACTCCTGCCTTCAATAGATGATGAACAGTGATAAGCTCTGTTCTTCATGGCTATGTATAAGAGACAAGGGGAAACAATAGAAGAGCAATTCTTTCCAAACTTTTTCATGTGTGGTAATTTCTAAGTGAAAAATAATATTTCTCCTAATCATTACTAATGGTTGTATTGGCAAGTTTAGTGTATAATTTTTGTGTTATGTTGAGAAAAAATGTTTTAAATTTTTAAGGGACATACACACTTTAAACAGATAAGCATTGCAATTATTAAGAAAAAACAATTGGACATCTAATTTCACTATTCATATTCCAATTATGTGGAGTTGGGGTTGTTCTAATAATAGCATGCACAATATTATGAATTCATTATTTTGGTAAGTTTTGAAATGTTTCTTTTTTGAGTTGGTATTTTTATACAGAAACCAAGAAAAGAAAAACAACCAAACCTTTTTTTAATTGGAAGAGAAATGAGTTATTCATTTTTTAATTTTTGTGGTAAATCTACAGTCAATAATTTAAGAAATATTTTACAGCCTGACATTCACAGATGGACAGACTGATGGGATATGTAGTCATTTTTCTCTCTACACTTTTGCTCTTTCCAGGGTTTTACTATGACTTTTTGATCTTCCTTACATTCTTCTGTTGTTTTTATGATGCATGGGAATTATAGATGACTCAAAATGAAATACTTTCTAGGTTATACAATATTTATCATTGTTATATAAAATTATGGTGAGCTGAATTTAAAAGTATGTGTTCAACTTAAAATGTACGTATCTCACAGACTTCAATCATTCTATCCTCTTTAACCTGACTTTGACTCAATAGTGCCACAAGCATCATAGTTAGAAATACTCAAACCAGATAACCCCATAACCTAATACACATCAATATCGGTAAAGGGATAAGGAGAGGTAAAAGAAATAGAAACAATTTTTTTCATATGCAAAGGCTCATATTCCCACTTGCATTTCTGTAGACATTTAACTGGGCTTCCAAAATCCATCTGGCTTAACTTCTCAATTAAAAACAATCATTTTCTGAGGTAAATTAAATTGTTATGATTTTTTCCTGTCAGTCTGTCCATCTGTGAATGTCAGGCTGTAAAATATTTCTTAAAATTGTTTTCTTTGTACTAAAAAGCAACGAACACCTTTATCAAAGGATCACTACCTCAATAACCAGAATTATCTGATATTATAATTACTACAATGTTATGAAAAACTTTATCTCTTTTCAGAAAACTTTACAGTATTTTAATAATGTTTTATAGTCCTCAGAGATGTATCACAAATTCATGGCAATACAGAAGGAATAGATTGTTTAGATCAGAGTTCATATCATGTAGATCTGCTACACAGATCATATATCCAATTCCATATATTTACTGATTAATATGTTACACAAAATTTGAATAATCCTACTTTATTTTTCATTTATCTTCTTTACAGGTATGTGTATGATGTTTATTTCATATTTGTGTGTGGCATTCTTCATACATGTATGCAAGTGTCTATCTGATCTGTCTTCTATCATTTATCAGACTGTGTGTACATCTGTGTGTATGTATAATTTAAAATATCTCATTCTAATAAAATATACAACATATCTATTATGGCATAAAATGCAAAATATTATCAGTATCTTTGGCACACATCTCAGCATTTCTTTCTGTCTTCCCAAAATTAATTACACAGCATCAAAAACCTCCTATTTATCCTCTCAGTATTGCCGTATTATCTATATCCACAACTCCATCTACAACCTTTCTAAAAAATGTACTAGCGGCAGTTTTCCCTTTCGTCTTCACACTCCTGTTCAGGTCCTAGCGTCTCGGGATGGCCTCGCAGAACCGCAACCCAGCTGCCGCCAGCGTCGCCGCTATTCGCAAGGGAGCCGAGCCCAGCGGGGGCGCCGCCCGGGGCCCTGTGGGCAAGAGGCTACAACAGGAGCTGATGACCCTCATGATGTCTGGTGACAAAGGGATTTCCGCCTTCCCTGAATCAGACAACCTGTTCAAATGGGTAGGGACCATCCACGGAGCAGCCGGCACAGTATATGAAGACCTGAGGTATAAGCTCTCACTGGAGTTCCCCAGCGGCTACCCGTACAATGCACCCACAGTCAAGTTCCTCACGCCCTGCTACCACCCCAATGTAGACACCCAGGGTAACATCTGCCTGGACATCCTCAAGGACAAGTGGTCCGCACTCTATGACGTCAGAACCATCTTGCTCTCTATCCAGAGCCTGCTAGGAGAACCCAACATCGATAGCCCTTTGAACACACATGCTGCTGAGCTCTGGAAAAACCCCACAGCATTTAAGAAGTACCTGCAAGAAACGTATTCAAAGCAGGTCTCCAGTCAAGAGCCCTGACGCAAGATGTCCAGCTTCTCTCATGTGTCGTCTTTTTCCTTAAGTGGTCTGTCCTTTCCTTGATTTCTAAGCTGTGCTGTTATTTTTGTTTTATTCATTTTTTTTGTTTTTTGTTTTTTTTTAAATTAAGTCTGCTTGAGCCCTTGCAATGTATATTAAATAAATACATATTCATTGTTTTTGTATAAAAAAAATGTACTAGCTTTTCTTCTATAAATATGCTCATCTTCATTTCATTCAGACGCACATTTATAGTAACTAAAGAACTCTGTATTGTTATAGTATTATTTATTAGTTTTTTCCAGTTTTTTCTTACAGTTCTCTTTCTATAGTTGAGTACCACACTGTTGTAGCATGAATCTTAAAGAGTCTTATTAATAAAATCAAACCTGAGGCCAGTTATTTGGGTGAATGCTAAAAGATCAGAGAAGCAGAATAAGCCAAAACTACCTCACCTTGCCAGTTCCTCAGCTGATCCTGTTTCCTCAGACCAGAAGCCTCTGAGTCCTCATCCAGAATGGGTCTCAGCTGAACTGTTGCTCAAAAGCCTAAATGCTTCTAGTTTCTGGTCCTCATACCTTATATACCTTTCTGCTTTCTGCCATCACTCCCTGGAATTAAAGGCTCACTTTCTGGGATTAAAGGCATGAGTCACCATGCCTGGCTGTTTCCAATGTTGCCTTGAACTCACAGAGATTTCTAGCTCTGGAATGCTAGGATTAAAGGTGTATGCTACCACTGCCTATCCTCTATGTTTAATATTGTGGCTGTTCTGTTCTCTGACCCCAGATAAATTTATTAGGGTGTACAATATTTTGGGAAACACAATACTACCACACGCTGTGATGGCTGACTTTGTCTAGTCATACTCCTCTTGGCTGTGAATTTTTGCTGTTTTTATTACCTTTTATAATCTGAACAGTGTTGAAGAGTTTTGGTGATGTTTCATAACATCTGCCCAATTGAGAATTTCATAAATTTTTATGATTAAATTCACTATTACAGTTTAAACTTCAGCTGCCACAATATTTCATTACAGTTATATTCTATATGTGTTGTTTTTGAATATCAATTTTGTTACTGACTACATGGCTGAAGATGTCTTTTTTAAACATTTGCACTGTAAATTTACTCTTCACAACTCTTGCTCCCATCTTCTTTTATCTTCTCTTTGAAAGGAATATTTTCTCAAAAAATATTTTTAAAAAAGTTATTTCCCTCTTTTTGAGACATTTTCTGCACACTTCATCTAAAACTTGGTCTATATTGAAGGTTTCTCTCACCATATCAATTTTATTTACTAATTTTTCCATGTATTATATCAATTTTCATTCATGATGATTTATTTTTACTCTAAAAAACAATCCAAGGCTACTTTATTCATTATATTCCCCACATTGTTCCAGGAGTGCCATTGCAAACCTTTACATTTGGTGTTCTACCTTTTGATATACTCCTTATTTCGTTGCTTTGATTTATTTTGATCAATGAGTACTTTTTGCCACTGAAAGATACTTTAGGCTTAACTCCTACATTCCCTGTTCTAGTATGAAAGTGACCACTTCTCAAAGGGCTACTCATTTTTTCAAATAGAAAGTTGGGTTAAAAAATATTTGAGCATTATGGATGCTTTGCTACTGAAATATCATTTCTTTTGGACTCATGGAAGAACAGAGAAATTTATCTGTGTATCCAAAAATTGTATTTGTATACATATTGGTAAGTGCACATTATATATTTATTTTCTACATGCTCATTAAGTTAAACTTGAATGCGCACTAGTGTTCAGAATTTTAACTCATCATCACAAATATTATTCTAGCCTACACCATTATTTATTTGAAAATTGAAACTCCAACAGTGAGAAATCTGTTTTCTACCATCTGCCATTCATTTACTTATTAATTTCCAGCATACATGGAAATCAATATTAAAATTCTTAACACATGCCCCAGTGTGAAACTACTTTATCAGTTGTATCATAGTGTTATTGCATCATTTCTATAGACTTTAGTATTAGAAACTGCCTTCATTTTCAGAATTGAGCATCTTTTTCCTCATTAAATGATATTTTATACATATTTTAAAAGAATTATACTGCCAATTAATGTTTAAATGCAGAAATTTTTGCCCTTTCCTTGCAAAGTCTAGTTGGCTTTCCAAACAGAAAGTGCTATATAGTCTAGTTTTTGAGATTTCATTGAAATCCTAAATGGACCCCCACAAGATATATATTTTATAGGCTTAATTCACAATTTACCATATTAAACTGTGTTAAAATCCTTAACAGGTAGAGACTACTGGGATGTCTTCAAATAATTGTGAACATGTCATTAACAGATATGACAACTGACCTTTTCTTTTTTTTCTTGTTTCTTCTCCATTAAAAGAATAATACTACTCTGTTCAATGTTCTCTGACATTATACATTGCAACAAGTCCAAAACAAGGAGTTCATTTGATCATTAGCTGAAACTTCCTAAACTGTGAGCTAAAATAAACATTTATCTGTACAAGTTGATTATCATAAATAAGATGAATGCTGTTTAACAGAAAATTGATAGAGTGGGGTTGTTCCTATGACTATACTTCATAGTGTGATTCAAAGTAACTTAGAAATGATGAATGGAAAAGAGTTTTTTAGGGTGGAGCTCTGGGAGTCCAGTCAAAGAGAGGGAGGAGGGATTATATGAGCAAAGGTGTCAAGATCATGATGGGAAAACCCACAGAGACAACTGATCTGAGGTGTTGGAGCTCACTGGCTCTGGACTGATGGGTGGGGAACCTGTATGGAACTGAACTAGGCCCTCTGAATATAGGTGACAGTTGTGTGGCTTGGGCATTTTGTGGGACCACTGTTAGTGGGTCCAGAATTTAACCCTAGTGTGTAAAACTGGCTTTTTTGAGCCCATTCCCTGTGAAGGGATAACTTGTTCAGCCTCAATACAGAGGGAAGGGGCTTGGTCCTGTCACATTACATGCAAGGATTTGTTGACTCCCCATGGGAGACCTTAGCTCCTCTGGAATGGATGGGGGTAGTGAGGTGAAGAGAAGTTGGGGGAGGTGAGCCAGAGGAGGAGAGGGAGGGGGTATTGTGGTTGGTATATAAAGTGGAAAAATAACTTTTATATAAAAAATAATAATATTTGAAGCAACAATAACATAAGCACATGGATTATTATGGCTAATGCCCACAAGGAAATGAGGATTTCATTAGAAATTGAACTATGGCCTGATGGTGGTGATGCACACCTTTAATCCCAGCACTCAGGAGGCAGATGCAGATGTATATTTGTGAGTTTGAGGACAGCCTGATCTACAAAGTGACTTTGAGGATAACCAGGGCTACACAAAGAAACCTTTTCTAAAACAAAAGCAAAAACAAAAATAAAATGAAAATCAGGATTAGTGTTTCCCCTTACTTATTCATAGTAAGCAAGTTGACTGCATAATGAATATGCTTTGGAGATATAGAAGTTGTAAATCTGGGCACCAAATTGTAGCTGGTATTTATCATCACAGCACTTGGAGAGGTATAAGCAGGAATACCATTGCATGTTTGAGGCCAGCCTGCTCATGACCCTACTTCAAGAAATTAAATTCTGCTTTAACTATTTTCAGAGCATGATCTTATAAGAGAATCCTGAAACATTTTGCTCATTTCCAAGTGCTTAAGACAAAATAGTTCTTTGAGGTATCTGTAGCCTTGTTTCAAGTAGACCCAAGTACTGCTCATACTGGTAGCATCCTCCATGCTATGCAGGTATTGCTGGCAGGCAAAATGCAAGATTTTAGAGATCTTTATAAAACTGTGAGAGTAAAGACAAGACACTGGATATTGTTTCTTTCCCTGTTGGGGTGACAAAATGCCCCAAAGAAGTGTTTGGTTTTGATGAGGGTAAAGGAAGATAAAGGCCATCAAAGCTTACTAGGGGCTTACAATGAGTCAAGTCACTAGCATTGCAAAGACACTAATTAGTCAAGAAATAGAAAACATTTCTGGGTCTAGTAACCTGAAACAAAATTCAGAATCTTCCTATTATCACAAATGTTACACAGCATAGTTTTATTATCCCCCAACCTTCTGTTTTGTCAATTTTCCAACATTCTTTCTTTTCCCTGAGCTAATATTTCTTTTCCTTCTATACTTTTACCTTTTCTTAAATATTCTATTTTAAATGGCTAGTTAAATATTACCAATCTAGTAGGCCCCTTCCTCTTTATTCACAGCCTATAAAATCAAGAGCCAAATCTGTGTGCCTCTGGTTATTGAGCAAAACAATGAGATCAGCATTGTAGCTCTGACTCTGGTAGAGACTTGTTATTCTAAACTGCTCTGAGGTCATTAATAGATAACCATCTAAACCTTGAAAGCTTAATACCTTGCTGGGGATTTCAGATAAAAAATGAAGGACCATTGTCCTCTCCCTTAAGAGCCAATCCAAATGAGCCTGTCAATCATCTGGATAGAAAGTAAAAAAACCTAAGTGAAAGCTACCTCTTCTAGAGGCATTAGAAAAACACTATAAAGCCTATCTAAAATGTTGATGGACATGATGACCCCTTTACCCTTTGCTTACTTTCAGCACTCGAGAGTGTATGAGACTGTACTCTGCTCCATAATTGTCCCTTTTGCCACAGTCCAACTCTCACCTCTGAAAGTGCTAGTTTTCTCTGTAGTAAACACTACCTTCCACTGAGTGCTTTTTCTGGTTCACCTAAATTCTTTTAACAGAGATCAGAAGGACCAAGGAGCCAAGGGACATTCTGAACAAGATTTCAGTTTTAAATAGTAAAGATTCCTTTGGGTTTGATATAGGGAAATGTTAACAGGGGTTTGCAATGAAATATCCTCTAGTAAGTCTGGTGAATTACAGCAAGAATAGTAAAGTTGGGGAACCAATAAATCAGAGAACAAAGGACATTCCTTCTAAACATAGGCTTTAAAGAAGAGCTCTCTGAGCATAGAGAGAAAGGGTCTCCAAGCTTAGAGAGGAAGGGTGTCTAAGTTTAGCAAATACTAGGTAGAATATAAATTTGTAATTTAGGAAATTAATCCTCTTGATCCACCTCATTTGATGTTTCTTCAGGGTTTAGTAGCTTAGGAAAGGTACTAAATAAGTTCTAACATGTT